TAGGCGCTTCACGTAACCCCACCAGCCCATCCAGAAACGATGCCCAGGCGAGTTGCCCAGATCAGGCATGTCGGGGAACGCGCAGTGGAATAAAGGCCCCGAGAAGCCGTCATACCCCAGGAGGGAGAGGATGGAGGAGGAACCGGAGGAGGAGGCACGCACGGCAGCATGGGGTCCGCAAGTCGAGCCCGCTGGGCTCCTGACAAGCCCGCGGCGCCGAGGCGGTGGCTGAGCGCTCAGCTCGTCGGGACCCGACGCGCACTCGGGCATCGAACGCCCGCTGCCCACCGACGACGGTCGGGCAGGCGCCGTAGGCAGAGCGGAAGAACGAGCCGTTTCCGGGTGTCGGCCGGGGGGCTGGCCGCCACCGCCCGCCCGAGAGGAAAGGCGGCGGCCTGCCGGAATTCGGAGGCACGCACGGTCGGGAAGGAGACAGGCGAGGAAGGGAGGGTCGAGCAACGGCACGATTCACAGCAGAGGTCATGACAGGCCGCCGCTATCTGGTACCTCATCTCTGCACCAATTTCTGCCCGAAAGATGGTCAGGGGGAGGAGGAGCGAGGAGGAGGAGGAGGAGGAGCAGGAGGAGTTTGAGTAGGAGGAGGAGGAAGAGGAGGAGGACGCTGCAGGCCGCGAAGCAGACGCAGCCACGGTTCCGAGGCGGCGTGATTGATGCGGAGCGCGCGGGCCACGTCTGGGTGCGCGGGGGCAGGATTAGGAGGCGGCCTCAGATCGAGCCGGTCACCATGAATATGCAACGAGTGAAACGTCTGCTCACACTGGATATCTAGTCAGCGCTCCGTCGACGACGCGTCGAACAGCTCGCCGGGAATGTGGATGCCACCTCCCGCCGTCGAGTGCATGCTCAGCGCCCCAGCCACGCCTGCACCTCCCGCACGAGGCCGCCGGGGGGCGCCGCCCCCCGCAGACGCGTACCCCCCGCCGCCACCAACGCCGCCGCCAATGTCTCCCAGGCCTCTCGTGTGTCCAGCCGGAATACCGCCCGCGTCTTCTGCTTGTCCCACCACTCCCGTGGACGAAAGTGCCGCACCGCCAACGACGACGCGACTGGGTCCGTAAGGCGGCCGTGCAACGCCACCAGCACGTCCTTGGCCTCCTGCGCGTGCTGCGGGCTTAGCGGTATCGCGATCAAGTTGCGCAGCACGGCCTCGGCCACGACCGAGCCCAGCGGACCGAGCTTGTGCAGCCGTGGTTTCTTGCCCTTGGTCGCTCCGGCGTACTGCATGGCGGCCTCGCGCCGCCACCTTCACCAGCGCGTACATCGTCTGCATTCGGATGGTGTGGTACTGCGCGCACTCGTGTCCACCCCGTCCTCCAGGTCGATGAGCGCCTCTCGCCAGCCTGCTGGCTGCCGCGTGCGCCGAGGACCCCCGCGACCGTGCGCCTCGTCGGCGTCCTCTCCGCTGCGACGCCCAGCGCTGCCATCCACCCAGGGCGCTCGACCATCCTCGCAGGCGAGAGCGCGACGAAGTAGTTATTTGTACAGAGATGTCGCTGAGATGTGAGCCGATGAAATGGCTATATGGGGCATCCAAGGTCAGTGAGACGACGCCGTAGTGGCAAGTGGCGGGGGCAGCGGCAACGAGAGCGTGACGACGATGGACGCGATCCTTCCAACAATAGCCCCGCTCCAAGGCGGCCGCGACGTGCCCCCTCGCCACCCCTCGAGTTGCGAACACAGTCCAGCAGAAAGCGCATTGGTTGGTCGGGGTCAAGCTGCCAACTGTCGAATGGCACTTCTGGCCAAGCGTCCGGTGGCCCGGCAGAGCCTTGGCCGTGACAAATGCCGCGCCGCAGACGCGACCATCCGCTGTCATCTCCTGGCAGACGAAGGGCAGGTCCAACACTCCCTCTGGCTGCGGCACGGGCCGGTCAGGAAAGAAACCGAGCTCGTGGAAGGTCCATCAGCCGACTGCGCCCTCTGGAACCACGCGCGTCGGCGGGTACCGAGTGCTCCACGCTGCTACCCTCAAGAGCCTCGCGTCCAGGCCCACGATGTCGCGACCGAGGAGGAGTAGGATGAGGAGGGGGATGAGGGAGGGGGAGGAGGAGGAAAGAGGAGGGAGAAGAAAGAAACGAGGAGTGAGGAGGAGGAGGAAGAGGAGGAGGAGGAGGAGCAGGAGGAGGAGGAGGAGGAGGAGGAGGAGGAGGAAGAGGAGGAGGAGGAGGAGCAGGAGGAGGAGGAGGAGGAGGAGGAGGAGAAGAGGAGAAGAGGAGAAGAGGAGAAGAGGAGGAGGAGGAGGAGGAGGATTACGCGGATGAGGAAGAGGAAGAGGAGAAGGAGGAGGAGGAGGAGGAGGAGGAGGACACTGGATGGTGGCAAGTGGCGCCTTCAGGTATTATTGAGACCTGAGTTGTGGAGGTACGTTGACACCCCTCCCTTCGGCCGTCTTCGTTGGCCGAGGAGACGTAGGGAGGGCCTCGGCCCCCTCCATTGGTAACTGACGCCGTAATGTGTTGGTGCATGGGTGGGAGAGGACGACCCATGCGGCCCCTATGATGACAGCCGCAAGGCGTGTGAGGCCTATGATGGTCCTCACTGGTAATGCCTATGAGTGTCCTCACCAGGGTGGGGTTGGGGAAGAGGGCAGAAAGGTCGAAGCGGATGTCCGACGGCAACCTCCTGGGGGGATACCTGTAAGGGCACGTAAAAGTAACGCCGGTCTTCCGCCCATGCTGCAGAGAATCCCCGCACCAGTGGTGGAGAGTGGAAGGTCGTTTCATACAAACCCGACCCCGACCCCCAACCCAGCCCCGACCTCCAACATCGGCGAGTTGCTTCATGTCGAGGATAGGCCGGTGCGTACAATAATGGATAAAGTAAAACATGAGTAAATCAGGCGGGAGGTCTGGATCAAAGGGTTCGTGAAACATGGGGGGGGTAGCTCTATGCTCAGAAGCCCGTCTATCCCACTTAGTGGGATAAACGGTGTTGTGCAGGGCCAACGGTGACCCACAACGCCGTTTTGGCTCAAGAAGCAGAAAAGGTGCTGATTGCCAACGCCCCAACATAGCGAATCATCACCCCGCCAAGGCGCAACCAAATAGAATTACCCCGACGAGCTCTCCCAACGAGAGGTCCCAGTAGGTCACATGCGTCGGGCAGCCCTGCTCGCGGGAAGTTTTAGTGACCTAAGTGCCGCCGTCTGTCTTCCCTCAGGCCGGTGAAGCCGAGGATAGGCCGGCACAGCCAAAAATCCGAAATTCCCCCCCCAAAGATTCACACACATTCACCAAACGGAGCGGTAAGAAAATCATGTTTCCGCTGAAAGGTTTCTCATGTAAAGGGCGACCTGGGTTTTTGCCAAAGCCTGTGCTTCATACTAACTGTCCGCTCAACTCCCTCAAGTCAGGTCGGTGCAGGCCTCACTTACCCATGTAGATGTCCCCAGGGTGCTGTAGCGTCTGCGCGTCGCCCATTTCTGGATCACTGCGATAGGGAAGTGCCCGGAGGTCGAAAGTAGCTGGAGGGGCTCCCTGAGCGCGAGGGCTCTGCCGTCCAAGGCAAGGCCCAGCACGACGGCCCGCTTGACGCTGGGTGGTGCGTTGCTCCTGTAATGCTTCTCGGAGGCTTCTTGGATGCTTCTCAGAGTCGGTTCGGATGTCTCTCGCGAGCTTCTCGCAGGCCTGTTGGGGCGTCTTGGGGGCCTCTTGGTAGTCCCAGGGGCCTCTTGAAGCGTCTTGGGTGCCTCGGGGGAGCATCTTGAGGCCTCTCGGGGTCTCTTGGGAGCCTTCTGGGTCGAAGAAGGGGTGGGGGTAAATTAGGCCCCCCTGCAGGGGGCCAACATTGGGCCAGAACCTGTAGAGAAATGAGTGGTGGTGGCTTTCTCGCCGAGGCCTCTCTTGGACGTTATGACACCTTGCGACTCCCCCCCGTCCAGGTCCAGGAGGATGGAGTAAGGGGAGCGCTAAACCCTTCCCCGAAGGGGAGGAAGGGGGTTGGAAGAGGAAACGCTCTAAACCACTCACGCCCTAAAGGGCTGGTGGGATTCCCTTGAAAGATGGCTACACATCGTTGGGGAGGGCACGACACCAACGCGATGTGTCTCCAGAGGGCCCATCATGTTTTGTTGCGTGAGGCGTGCTGATTCTACGCTCCTACAATGTAGTGGCTTAGGTCCATCCCGCCACCGTGCCTGAGTTGTGAGTCAGTGGCCTCTTGGAGGCTTCCTGGAGGCCTCTTGGAGACCTCTTGGGGGAATCTTGAAGATATTGTGGCCACCGTGGCTTGGAGGACTCGAAATATCAGTTCGCGTTCCCCCTCTTGGGCCTCTCTTGGGACGTCTAGGATGTTTCGTGATCCGTCTTGGACGCTCTTAAGACCGGAAAGGCGATGATGTTAAAACCATTTGAAGACCGCAGGGATTTGGGTGATGTGGGTTTCTCCAGCGAGTTCCTAGGTCCTGCTAGACGGCCCAAGACGCGCCCAAGAGAGCTCCAGGACCGTGTCTGGGACCATCTTAGGTCATGATGAAAACCTATGTCCCGGGATACGCTGTCTTAGTCTCTGGAAAATGCGGGGCGCCCCAAGAGTCACGCGACAAACCAAATACAATCCAGATCTTGGGCCTGGGTGTCCCTGAACGGTACTCCATATTCAGATTCGGAGTTTCTAGAGAACCTGGAGACATTCCATTCAGTTCAGTAAACGAGATAGACATTCAATTCAGTTCAGTAAACGAGATCCAACGTATGGAAAGAAACCCAACCTTGAAACATCACGACCAGCGCCCTAGCCCCCATCTTTCTGCTGCATTTCTCGAGCCGAATGAATCGAAGAGGGCCCTGGGGTCCGAAGCTGGGTGAAAGCGCCCAGTGCGCCACAAATTGCGACGCCAGGATCTCAGCGGTGCCCCGCGGCGCTTCTGAGCGGATAGGTGATATTTCTTTTCTCCGAAGCCTTGTGGCTCAAGAAAGAGCGGGCGACACGGCCCCGCCAATGTAGACATCCAGTTGAGAGGGGACGACCTACTCTCTCAGATGGCGCCCAAGAAGGGGTGGGCCACTCTAGTTATCGTGCTGCTGTTGCGCCCTACCCTGGGGGCGCTGACCGAGCGGACAGGATCTTGGGGTACACACGTGTGCCGATACCACTGCTTCCCCGTCCTCCCCGGGACTGCGATCTGACCAGAAGTTCGATGGGGAATCTGGCCGTGGCGACGAGGGCCCTTCTGAGACGAGCAGCGGCATCGGCATCTCCTCCTCCTCCTCCGCCTCCTCCTCCTCCTCTGAGGATCGAAGCGGAGGAAGGAGGACGACGGGGGCGAGCAGCCGGGGCTGGACCTCGTCCAGGCCGCGGGTGGCGCCGCCGGGCCAGAGGACTCGCAGATCGGCCAGCTGACGGAGTCCATCCGAACCCTCTTCAGCCTCGGGGCTTCGGCCTCGCCCCCGACACCCCCGCCGAGCTTGGCGGCGGCCCCGAAGCCAGGCGCCGCGGTGTCTGCGGCCGCCGTGGGCGCCCGCGTGGGGAGGACGTGGCTGCGGGCGCCCGCACCGGTGCAGGCCTCGGCGGACCCCACGCTGGCCACGGCCTCGGCAGCTGCGGCGGCATCGTCGCGGGCGGCCTCGACCAGCAGCGAGGTGTGGGACAGGAGCTCAGAGGAGGAGAAGGTGCCGATACTGCTACCCTTGCCTCGAGCTTGCCTTTCCGGGCCTCCTGGGAGGCCCTCGTCGCCACCTCTGATCTTCGAAAGGCCTACGGTGCCATTCGGTGCCCACCCCGTCTCGCCCACAGGGACTTCGCATCCCCCGCTTTGGTGTGGAAGTGGGTGGGCGTGCCGCCCCCCCTGGCCTCGAGATTCAGGTCAGACAGAACCCCGGGAGAGGTCAAGGGAGTAGCGTAGCGGTGTCGGTATCTTTTGGTCCCCCAGGAACGCGACGGAGGCCCGCAGCCACTCGTGGTTCTCGGCCCCGCCGACCAACGCCGTAGCCGCCACCAACGTCTCCAGCCCGCCGGCGAGAGCAGCCGCGCAGCAGGCGGCGCCCACCGTCGCCTCCGCTGCCGGCGGTGCCGTCGACGCCAGGCCGAACGGGACGTCCGGGCCGAGGGCGGCGGCTAAGGCTGTCGGAGCCGCCTCGAACGCCACTGCGAACGTCACCGTGAACGCCACAGCGAGTTCCGCCGCGAACGCCACTGCGAGCGTCACCGTGAACGCCACGGCGAGTTTTGCCGCGAATGCCACGAGGAAGAACTCGTCGGAGCTACCAGAGAAGGAGGTGGAGGAACTCCCGATGGCCAAGCTGCTCCTCGGTGATGATGGCGACGGCCCCAAGTCAGCCACCACAACATCGATCCCAAATGCTACCCCAGTCGTCTCGGGAGCGAGTACCGCCAACTCAAGCGCCCCGATCATCCTGAACACGACCGCCGCCAACGCCACAGTGGTGCCGGCCGTCGGAGCCTCGGCCGAGGCTGCGAAATCCACAGCGAAGGCGGACGCCAACGCCTCGCGAGCGTTCTCGCGCGAGGCGGCCGTCGCCAAACAGGCGCAGGCGGCCGCCAAGGCGGCGAAGCTCGCCGAGGCGAAGGCGACCCGGCTGGAGGCGGAAGTGGCCGCCTTGAGGAGCAAGCTGGCCAAGGACGAGCAGACCTTGTCCAAGACCAGGAGCGTCACGCCCGCAACTGCGGCCGCCCCCGTTGTCATCGTCGTGCCCGACGCCGCGACGGCGGCGAGGGTTGCGTCGGCCAACGTTGGGGTGGTGGGGAACGAGAGCGGCGCGCGCTTCGTGGTGAGCGTCGACGGCGGCCAGACTGTGGAGGCCCCAGCCGCGGGCACTGCGCTCGGCAGTCGGCCCGCACCAGTGAAGGGGGGGCCGCCCGGCGGGAGCGCCGAGAAGCAAACCGCGCACGGCGCCGCGGAGGCCAGCAGGAAGAGGCCGGCGCCGCTGACAGCGTCGACGAGCAAGAGCTCCTCGGCTCCCACTCGCCGTCTGGTGGCCCGCAGTGAGCCTGCCGCGGCCGAGAAGGCGGCGCCACTGGCCTCGACGGGCAGCAAGCCTGCAGCAGCGGCTGGGGCCAAGTCGGTGGCCCGCAGTGATCCTGCCGCGGCCGAGAAGGGTGTCCCATTGGCCTCGACGGGCAAGCCTGCAGCAGCGGCCTGGGCCAAGCCGGTGGCCAGCACTGAGCCTGCCATTGCCGAGAAGGCGGCACCACTGGTCTCGACGGGCAAGCCTGCAGCAGTTGCTGGGGCCAAGCTGCAAGCGAGCCGCGCGGAGCACGGGCCAGCCAGCGATGCGAAGCACGGCCCCGCCGCGAGCTCTGCGTCCAGCGAGCCTTCCGCTGGCAGACAGACCGCAGCTCACCAGCCCGCCAACAAGACCCTCGCAGCCAGGCCACCGCCGCCAGCGGGCCACCTGGCGGCGCGCCCCGCCGCTGAGGGCAAGCACGCTCCAGCTTACGCAGAGGAGCGTGGCGGCATGAAGGCCTCGGCGACATCGGCGGCTTCGGCGAGCCAGCCCGGCGCGGCTGGGGCTGGGCCGCGGAAGGGCAATGCGGTGGAGCAGCGCGTTTCGGCGGCGACAGCGACGGGTGCGCACGCCAACGTGGATGGTCGCCTAGTGGCTAGCCGTGACCTTGAGAGCGCACAGAAAGCAGGCAGCGAGACGAACGCTGTGCCACTGGCAGCTTCTAAGGGCATGCAGGGGGCGGTCGTTTCTAGGACATGGGCGAGCGGCACAGCAGCGCACTTAAACGTCGATGGTGGCCATCATTCAATGGCTGGCACTGCGCCAGCCAAGGTAAGAACTACAGAGACCAAAAAGTCTTCAGCGGCTGCTTCCAGGCCCGTGACCAACCGCCCAGCGGTGAGCCTGTCACCCAAGGACGGGCACCGCCCCAGGACTGACGTGACCTCTGCCCGAGCAGAGTCGACCAAAGGCGAAGTGGCAAAGACAGCTGCGACCAGAAGCCGTACAGAGTCAAGTGAGCCAGCAGAGAGCCCCGCAGAGGTGCAAGCGCTCGCCAGAGCAGGCCACGGTGCCGCAGCCAGTGCCAGCCCGCGCGCGATTGTCAAGGTGGACACTCCGCCAGCGGCCAGCGTGGCAGCGCACGCTTCGGCCGAGGCAGGCCCCCGCCCGACGGCAGACGCTGCGGGGCGCGCCCCCTCCAAGACAGACCGGCGCCCGGCAGCCAGCACGGCGGCGCACACCCCAGGCAAGGCTGCAACCGCCGGGCCTCCGGCCCGACGAGGGCAATGGGCGGAGCCGGGCAGTCACCTGGCGGACAACGCCACGGGCTTCTCGCAGGGGGCTCGCCGCCTCCTCCCGGCGGTCAAGCAAGCAGGTCACGTCGTGGAGGCCGTGAGCCAGAGTAACACCGCCTTGGCCCAGGGGCTGACGCACGTCGTGCACCCCAGGTGGGCCAGAGCCTCGCAGCGCGACGCGCCGACGAGCTTGCTGCCCAGGGCGGCGAGGCAGGCCATCACCGGGAAGGTCTGGTCGGAGCGTGAAGGCAGTGCTGCCCGCGCGAGGCTGAAGCTGCCTCGCCAGCACGAGGCGCCAGCTTCAGCAGTTACGGTCCCAGAACTGGCGGCGTCCCACAGAGTAGCCGGCCACGCCGCCGCGGCAGGGACCCCCGCCGCTGTGGAGCCCAAGAAGCTGACGCCCCAAAAGGAGGAGGACGAGAAGAAGGAGGTTCAGACGGCGGCGCCGCCGCCCCCCTCGCAGTTGCCCGCTCTCGGCCATGAGGCCCTCGGCGTCAGGGCCAAGCCCAAGCCCGCGGCGCCGCTGCCCAAGTCCGCTGCGGCTGCTGCGGAGGCTCCAGCGCAGCGTCAGCGGGAACACCAGGCCGCCCGCATTCCGGCGATCGCAGGCGCGGCCCCGGCCGCTGCTGCAGGGGCCGCCGCAGTGACGGCCGGGAGGGAGGTCCACGTCCACCTGGAGAGCGCGGCGGCGCCCTCGCGCAGGAGGCCCAGGACGCGGCGCGCCTACGCGGCGCGCTTGCGGTCGCCGCCCGCGGGCGCGGCGGGCGGGGCGGAGCGAGGTGTGGGCCACCGCCCCGCCCGCCTGCCACTCGCCGTCCTCTCCGACATGGGCCACACAGCACCCAGCGGCGGCCTGGCCGCTCTGGGCGCACCTCCGCTCCCCCACGCCAGGCTGCTCCCGCCGCCGGCCGAGGAGCCCATGCCGCTCGAGGGCGACCAGGTCTCGTTCCCCGCCCTGCCCGCGAGCTTCGAGGAGGACAGTGCCGGCGCCGACGCCCATCCGCCCAGCAACAGCTCCTCGCTGCCTCCCGCTTTGGCCGCGCCCGCGGCGGCCGCGCCCGCTGCGGCCGCGCAGGCAGCCACCGCCGCGGCGACGGCCCCAGCTCAGGACATCGGCGCCGCTGGGTGGTTCCGCTCCATGCTCACGTGGTTCTGGCACGCGCCCGAAGCGCCACCGAAGGCGCTCTCGGCCCAACGGCCGACGGCGCGGGCCGAGCTGCTGCGGCTCGAGAAGAAGAGCGGCGAGGACAAGATGCGCTGGCACACCAACTTCGAGGCGATGGACGACCGCCAGCGCGACATCCCGATCGCCGACGCGTTCGGCCGATTCGAGCAGGAGGACGAGGACGAGGTCGAGAACTTGCGTCGCGAGGACATCGCTGCGCGGACCGAGGCAGAGCACGCACCCCTGGGGTCCGCGCGGGCAGGCAGGCCACCGCCTCGCGCCGCGGGCACGCACGCCAGCAGCTTCTGGAAGACCATGGAGACTGAGGACTCCGAAATGGGGAAGGCCCTTGATCAGGACATCGAAGAAGAAACACGGTATGGATCTCTTCATACGTATATCGTAAGTACTATGCATATATGAACACATATATATATATATATATATATATACATATATATGTGTGTATATGTATACAGTCGGGAATGTGTGGATGGCGTGTTGCGCCGCCACTTCTGGCCCACCACGCTTCGGTGCGACACGCGATCCACTTCCTGGTCCCCAGGCGTCCTGGTCCCCAGGCGTCCGTGTCCCGAGCTTGTTTGAGCCTCCTGCCCCGCGGAGCGGAGGGACACATGGTCTACTCAGAAGGCATAGCGTGTTGCCGGGGCCGCCGGGGCGATACGCCAACTAAAAGCTCCCGACTGGAAACTGTTCGAGGCCCGCGCGGATTTCCTGGATCGGAGCCGGAGAGTGCCTCCGTCGCCAACGCTGGCGCGCTCGGCGCGCCAGGGAGGGGGGTCAGCGCCGATCCGAAAAACTGCGCGGCCGACAGAGGTGCCTTCTGCTTAGCGTGTGGCACCGTCGGCTTTGGCCCACCACGAATAGGCGCGACACGACACGCGAACGACTTTCCCATTTCCAAGCGTCAACGTCCCGCCCCAAGGAGCGGAGCAGTACGCTATCAGCTTGCGAGGCATAGCGTGTCGCCGGGGCTGTCGCCGCGCCACGCTAAGCAAAGGTTCTCGACCGTGTGCTTACGCAGCTGTTCTTCTCCCAGGACAGAGACCTATCGAAGTACGAGCAGCTGGTGAACCTGCAGGACCAGCAGGCCGAGGACGCGGCCCTTGAGCTGGAGCGCCCCAGGGCGCGTCTGCGGAACCTCCAGCCAGAGGCCCCCGCGGAGCGAGCGGGCCGACTGCTGGAGATTGTGGACACGCCCCTGCACGACGCGTTCGGCTCCATGGAGGCAGAGGACAGCGTCGTGGAGGAGAGGGTCCACAGCAGCCCAGATTTGCAGATGATGCAGGTCAAGGAAGCAAGGGGAGGAGTAGGTACCGATACCGCTACCCTCTTTGGGCTCCCTGGGAGGCCTTAGTCGCCACGGCTGGATTCGCTTCGAAATTCGGGTCAGAACGCACCCCAGGATCGCCAGGAGGTCCGGGGAGCGGCGGTATCGATAATTTGTGGTTTCCCCAGGAGATGCGCACAGCACCCAGGGCAGAGGACAAGGCGAGGCTCTGAACTGCCCGCGATGACATGCGAACAGCCGCTTAGGGGCAGCGCTGCGCAGGGCTGGCAACAAATTGAACGGCGCACGCTGGAGGAAACTAAAAGGAGGAGGAGGAGGAGAAGGAGGCACTAAAAGGAGAAGGACGACGAGGAGGAGGAGGAGGAGGAGGAGGAGGAGGAGGAGGAGGAGGAGGAGGAGGAGGAGGAGAAGAAGAAGAAGAAGAAGAGTGAGGAGATGGAGAGAGTGGGAAGTCGGGGAAGGTTTTCTGGGAGGGGAGGAGGGGAAGGAGACTGGGAAGGAGGCAGGGAGGGAGGGAGGCAGCGAGGGAGGGAGGATGATGGGCAGGAGGAGCAGACGCAGGAGGAGCAGCAGGAGGGAGAAGGAGGAGGTGGAGGAGGAGGAGGAGGAGAAGAAGATGTGAGAAGTCAGTGAGGAAGGATGACGATGAGGAGGAGGAGGAGGAGGAGGAGGAGGAAAAGGAGGAGGAGGAGGAGAACGACGGATTGGGATACGGAAAAGAAGGGAGCAGAGCGATCTCAGAGCCTTTTGGGGCCACCTTGGCAAATAGGCGAGGATGAGGACCAGTAGAGGAGGAGAGAGCGCCACTCGCACTGGCCTGCCGCGTCGAAAAGACAAGGTGGAGGATAAGGAGGGGGTCGGACGGGGCTAGGACGAGGATGAATCCGTTCCAGAGCGTTCCGGAACGCTCTGAGAAGGCCGCGGCGCTCCCTCTCGAGCCGCCAGATCTCAGAGAGTCTCGATTTATCCTCACCCGAATTTGTCTTCGTCCTGGCTTCGTCTTGGGGGGGGGGAAAGGTGTATGGTCCGGAACTTTTGCTCAGCATGTCCCTGCGGCGGACACGCTATGACCTGCAGGCAGATAGCGTGCCGCTCCGCCTTACGGGGCGGGAGGCTGGGAAAGGCTCGGGACGTTGACGCTCGGGGACCAGGGCGTGGTCAGCGGCGGGCGGGAAGCGAAGGCGGCTGGGAGCTACCGTCGCAGGTTTTTGCTCCCTTCGGCCTGGGTCAGGGGCTGCGGCTCGCAGGCCAGAGAGATATTGCTCCGAGAGCTGCATCCTTGGCTCTGCATTCTCAATTACGACATTGTTTGATTTCCGTCTGGCGCGGTCAGCGTGTCGCGTCGAAGCGTGGCACCGACCGTAAATTGCGACCCGACGGCTCGGCTCCTAGCCGCACAGTGGGCACACGAAGTAAGAGATCGGCTTGCCAGCAGGTGCCCCACAGAAGTGGCTTGACCCCCGATGGCAGCACTTGCACTCAGGACGCAGGGGGGGCTGTTTTGTTCTGAGGAACTGGGACTGCCCGTCGGTCCGACAGCTATGTGGTCGCCGTCACTGCCCCCTCGCCGCCTCGTCGCCGCCCGTCGTCTGGGCCTGCCCGTCGGTCTGGCGGTTATGTGGTCGCCGTCTCTGCCCCTTCGCCGCCTAGATTGGACAGCATAGATTTCTCCGCATAGCTTGCACCGCCTAGACTGCGCCACACAGATTGCGCCACATAGACTGCGCCACATAGATCGCACCGCCTAGATTGCACAACACATTTTGCACCACATAGATTGCGCAGCATAGATTGCACAACATAGATTGCACAACATTGATTTTCCTTTTTTAAAAAGAGAATGGACTCTACCCCCCCGGCGTTATCGCCCCCCCTGTCGGGTATGTACATCATCTATGATTCTGACCACATGCCCATCCTGAATATGAATTTACACTCTCCCAGGGGGGCCAGGATCGGCCCCCCTTTGGTTCCGTTGTAAAAAACGATACGCGGGGACATCTGGTGTTCTAACATAAGACTTTTTCGCGAATCTCTTGCAAAACATGGGACGAAGTGCACACGCGCGCGCCGTCGCGCGCGCATGCCGAAATCCTTCAAAAACCTTCGGTGTCGGAAGGATTTCGCAGTCGAGTTTCCAAAAAACATACAAACACACAGGGTGTCGCAACACTGATTTGCTAAAAAAAGCTTTTTTCGCGAGCTCTGGCGAAATCTTAAGGAAACCATGAGTTTTTCAAGATTTTCACAAAATGCTACCAAACGGGCTTCGTGCGCGCGCATGTCGAAATCTGTCGAACGCCCTTGCGCGTGTGCCATCGCGAGAGTCCTCTGCAAAAAATGAGACGAAGTGCAGACGCGCGCGTCGTCGCGCGCGCATGCCGAAATCATTCAAAACCCATCGGTTTCGGAAGGATTTCAACATCGTGTGTCCAAAAAAACATACAAAAACACAAGGTTTCGCAACACGGATTTTCAACAAAAGCGTGCGCGCGCGCTCTTGCGTCGTCGTCGTCGTCGTCGTCGTCGTCGTCGTCGTCGTCGCCGTCCTCCCTCCTCCCGCGTCGTCGTCGTCGTCGTCGTCGCCTACGTCGTCCTCTGTCTTTCCTCGTGTTCGTCGTCGTCGTCCTCTTTGGCGTCGTGGTCGTTTCCGTCGTCGTTGTCGCCGTGGTCGTCCTTCCTCCTCCTCCCTCGTCGTCGTTGTCCGTCGTCGGCGTCTCCTCGTCGTCCCTCGTATTTCGTCGCCGTCGTCGTCGTCGTCGTTGTCGTCGTCGTCTTCCCTCCTCCCTCGTCGTTGTCGTCGTCAGCGTCGCCGTCCTCCCTCCTCCCTCGTCGTTGTCGTCGTTGTCGTCGTTGTCGCCGTCGTCGTCCTCCCTCCTCCCTCGTCGTCGTCTTCGTTGGCGACGTCGTCGTCGTCTTCGTCGTCGGCGTCGGCGTCGTCGTCTTCGTCGTCGTCGTCGTCTTCGTCGTCGTCGTCGTCGCCGCCGTCGTCGTCGGCGTCGGCGTCGTTGACGTCGTCGTCGTCGTCTTCGTCGTCGTTGTCGTCGTCGTCGGCGTCGTCATCGTCGTCGTCGTTGTCATCGTCGTCGTCGTCGTCGTCGACGGCGTCGGGGTCGTCGTCGTCGTCGGTGTCGTCGTCGTCGGTGTCGTCGTAGTCGTTGTCGGCGGCGTCGTCATCGTCGTTGTTGCTGTCGTCATCGGCGTCGCTGTTGTTGCCAAGTGCCATGTGGTACCCACCGTCACGGTTTTAAGAGATTTTGCAAACCAAGTTGCGGGTGGGTGGGTGGGATGTTTGCGAGAGCAGTGGAGTGGACAACTCACTGCGAACAGAAATTAGTTGCACCACATATATTGCACCACGTCGAGTGCACCGTAAAGATTGCGCACTACATAGATTGGACCACATAGGCTGCACCATATTCCTATTTTGATATTTCTGGTACCTGGAAACCCCCTAAACCGGACCACCCCCCAGGGATGCTCCAGACGCCCTTTCGGACGTCTCGGCGGCCCCCTGGACGCCCTCGGAAAAGGTTCGGTGGCCCTTCCGGGCCTCCCAGGGCGCTTCGGTGGGCCTTGCGAGCCGACTCGAGGCGATCAGATGGGTCGTCGGAGAGGCGCAAGAGAGACCCAAGACAGCACAAGAGCGCTCCAAGAGGAACCTCGATGGTCTGAAGACGGCCCAAGAGGCCCCCAAGACACCCCAAGAGGCCGTTAAGAGAGCCCCGAAGAAGCCAAAATCGTCAAATCCCCCAGGATATATATATATATATATATATATATATATACAAGACTTGAAGGCTCGCTTCGCTTCGCTTCAATCTTGGCCCACATGAGCGAGAGGGGGGGCGAGTCAGCGAGTGAGGCGCGAGCGGCGCCCGCGAGTGAGAGAGAGAGAGAGAGAGAAAGAGAGAGAGAGAGAGGGAGAGTGGAAATGAGAACGATTTTCTCGGTTTGCCCCTGTCCTGTCCAAACTCCCACAAGATAGGTGCGTCGCCTACCAGCCGCGACACGGACAGACGAGCGCGATGGATGGATCCCATTTCTTTCTTTTTTTTTCCTCCTTCAACTCTCCGTATTTTCCTCATCGTTTTCGTCGTCCCTCACCTTGGGTCCTCGCTTTCTTGGGACACGGCCGCGACACGCACAGACGGGGGGTGGCGGGTCCTGAGAAAATGAGAGACAGAGAGAGAGAGAGAGAGAGAGTGAGAGAGAGGCGAGGTGGGGGGGAGGTGGATGGAGAGAGAGAGAGAGAGAGAGATAGAGAGAGAGAGAGAGAGAGAGAGCGGGAGAGAGGGAGAGAGGGAAAGAGAGAGAGAGAGAGACAGAGAGAGACAGACAGACAGACTGACAAACAGACTGACAGACAGACAGACATACAGGCAGAGAAGGAGGGGGGAGAAAGAGAGAACGAGAGAGAGGGAGAGAGAGAGAGAGGGGGAGAGAGAAAGAGCGAGACAGAGAGGAGGGGGCCAGAGAGACGCGGGCAATGGGGGGCGTCGGTCACCGCCGCAAGCCTCACGTCATGAATCGCGCGCGACGCTTGGGCCTCTTAGAAATCCCTGCGGCCCCCGCGCGGCCCCCTTGCAAGCCTTTTGGGATGTCATCAGGTCTCCTGGGAGCCTCTGGGGATGTTTTGAGACTCTCTTGGGAGCCTCGTGGATGTTGCGGGCGTGCGTGGCCCCCAAAGAAGAACCTACCCAAATCCTCGAAAAACTAACAGGAAACCCTCGGTTGTGTGCCTCCTCCGGACCTGCTGGGAGTCCTCTTGGGGGTCTCTTGGAGCGTCTTGGAGGCGTCAGGGGCCATGTATGCACTGGGCCCGGTGCTGAAAATGTCGGCTGGGCTTTCCGCGAACCCATGGGATTTACTGGTTTGGGACTTTAAACGGAGAAGGTTAAAGGCGAGGTATATATCGAGCATGCACCGCTGCCGTGCCTGGCTCAAGCCGGGCCCGGCCTAATATGTGACTGTGCCTCACCGAGGCGCACGACTTGTATCTGAGATCGGAAAATACCTTTTCCATTGAAGATGCCCCTTCTATCCTTTACTCCAGATCCCATGCTTCATCTCGCCCTCTTGCTCATGCGATATGAGCCAAAGCCTGGGATATGGGAGCGCCTAAGGCGGAACATATATCTAAGCTTACCAGTGCGTTTTCGACTTGGTAGCGGAGCTGGCTACACTCTCGTGTGGCTGGCTCTCGCTCTGA